TCAAGTGTGTTGTTTAAAACAGTACTGAAATCTTCGGTGATTAAAAGCATAGGAATGTCCAGCATTAGAAAATAAACTGATAGTAACTGAGTCCATAATTTTGAACGTAAAATTTATTGATTTCTTGAAAGATCGGACTAATCGGACTTCACTAGGAGTCATAATAAATTAGAAAGTTTCTTCTACTTATAGCTTCGGTTATATATTAATATTTAATTTTAAAAGCCGGGTTTAAAAGCCAAAAGTTGGTTAAGTTCTGGTTTTAAAGTTAAGTATTTCTGTTTGTTGAACAAGTAATCGGGAAAAATAATATATTTGTCTTAAAAAACTGATGAGGTCTCCCAAAGCCACACAAACAGGTGCACTAAAATATGTTTTTAACGACCGAGAAAAGAAGTTTCCAAAAGGACTGTGTGCATTTACCAAAAATTTTTATTTCAGACTTGAGCAGTTTTGGCTTTAATCCCACGATATGTAAACAATCTTAATATCTAGTGAAGAATATTATCGACCCAATCGGTCTTTCTGCCATGTCTTCTGCCATGTTTCCAATTATGTGAAAGTCGTCCACCTCTAAACACTTCCTCTATTCGACCTGCGTCTGAATTGCTTTATTTTATATACCCTCATCTGCTAAGTAATTTTTTTCAATTTATCCTTATTTCACCGGCTTGTTAATTTATACCTTATAAAGGTTTCGTAGATAGATATTAATTTTTCAGATTTCGGAATTTGATTTGGCTAACTTAGTGAATTTCGCAATTGCCTTAATTGCGAATCTGTTCTTGTTAGTGACCAGAGATTCACATGGACTTTGATAAATCATGTTTTTTACCCAGTTTTTCTATCGGTTTCTAAGCATATTGGAATATTTTGTATATCTATCGGATGTTATGTTTGTTTCTTTGTAATTATCTCTACAGAGAAACTAGTGATATCTTAGGAACTAAACAAATTTAATTGGGTGCAACAGGAAACTAAACCAGGGTTGAAAATATTTGAAAGCAAGTAAGATAAATTAAAATTTTAATAAAAAAGTACTTAAAGTAGTCAGTAAAAAGTAAATTAAAAAACGTGTAACCTGTATTACAAATAACGTTGAAAATTTATCAAATTATAATGTGTTAAAGTTTTAATTTTATGAGTTTTCTGGTAGCTATATTTTGTGCTTTGAAATAGTATAAATATTGTATGCGGCTAAAATTTCTTTAAAACTATATTTTATTTAAAGTTTATTTTGACTTCTCTAAAAAATCTAATGGCATACTTTAATTCTTAGACTCTGGCCTCCTTCAACAGATCTTCAATATTTCAGTTTATTAAGTAATTTTAATATCCTCACAATTTATGTTTTGGTAATATTTCGATGCTATACAAATCTCAATAAATCTACATATGAAAGGTGTTCAAGGGTTCACTTTGCGATCCATTTCATAATTTGTACCAAATATCGCAAAAGTCTATCAGTTTGCAAAAATTTTCGAAGTTTTCAAGATTTTGACAAAGTTTCACGTGTTTTAAACGATGACTGGAGATCTTCATATGTGGCATGGCATGTTTTGTTCACGGTGGTGATCCAAACCAGTTTGAAGCAGAAACTTGCATTTCAAAATATTTGCGTGCAAATAGTCACTTTCAACAAAACAGTCAACAATAAAAAACCGGAAATCGAACTGCAAATGACTCATGACTCAAAAAGGGTGAAGTCGAGAAGTGATAAAAGCCTGAATATCGCTTGAGTTTTTTGGAATATTTGACTAATTATACAGTTTTGTACGGGAAGTGGATAAAATACGTGGTCAGATCTTTGTTCATAGACGGCATATACAGGATGACTTGGTACCAATAAAGCAAGTGCGTTAGATTATCCATTATCTGCTAACTGAAGTATTAAAGTTTTTAACTTGGAGTAGTTCTATATTGTTTGTTCAAATGTAGTGTGTTTTTGAAGATTATTGGGTAGAAAATGGAGGATGGACGCCAGCTTGCAGATAACTGGTAAACATGATTCTCTGTTCATTTCAAACAATTAAACTGTTTTTTTTGTAATACTAAAGAATGTTTTTTTCGTTCCAGGTGGCACGATGCAGCTTTCGGTAAGTTTGGCATTACTTTGCCCCTGGTTGCCATGTAGATGTAGCAGATTATTGACTTGTATTTTACCACATTGCTGTATGTTATATTTATTCGACAAAGAACGACGAGGGACGTTCTGGATTCTGGATTGTTTTGAAATTTTTTGAATTTGCTTTCTGGAAAATTAATTTAAAATAGATAGAGAGATATTATATGTTAACGAATCAGGTTCTCTATAGAGACCATTTTGATATGTAAAACTATTAATTTTCTGTTGTGAACTATATTTTTTATTGCTTAAAAATTCTTCAAAGTCAAGATATCAACACTAGTGTTTTTCTGTTGTAAATCTATTGTTCTGCTGAAATCAAATGCTAAAATAACGCAGAATCCAGACCAAAATGCCTAAAGGTAGGTGGAATTTATTTATTGCTTTGTGATGGTTCAGCGGATAGGGATACTACTTATGTAAATAGTCGCCGGTTTTTGCGAAATTTTACACTCTAAGTTAATTATTGTTTTCAAACGATTCGTGCTAGGGAATTTCAGCGGCCAGGATCTGTCCTATATATTTCAATTTTTTTGAAATCCAGCACCCTTCAGGCTGTATGTGGTCCAGATCAAGATTTTAAGCAGGCTAACAGCCACTAAATGAGCTTTTTGAGAGAAAATTGGTATTTTAGAGATTTTTCGGCAATCTGGGTCCCTACAGCATTTCATTTTGTAGTAGATGGGGACCAGGGTCGTAGTCTTTCTTTGATAGCATTTATGCTGCTCGCATGTGCAGATTTATGGATTTTATGAGACAATTTTTAAATAACGGATTCTTAAAAATTATAGCGCAGTTATTTTCGTATGCTCTAAAATTTTCGTAGAATTAAAAAGGTACATTTTTCAAGTGCTTCAATAGAATGCACTAATAACAGCGTTTTCCTATTGACTTAGCGAAATTAATGAACTTAAGTTCCACATCATTCTGAGGTAGCAATGAAAAAATAAACCCCAGAAATACGGATTTTGACACTAATTTTAACCGATTGCTATCAACAGTATTAAATATATGAATATTTGATTATTATCACCACACTAAGAGCATTTCACCTCGAGTTAAAGCCAAAGCGAAAAATGCTAAGAGCATTCGGACCATTCTAACAAACAAAATTATTCGATTAAATTTAGAGGTAATCCTCATTTGAGACATTTACGTTCAATTAACTATTACTTTATTTATCATGGACACACAAAGAGAGACACTGACGGGAAGAAAGAAGTTACGGGCAAAAGAGTGGAGGTACGCGCAAATGGAACAGTCGAACTGTTACCAACATTCATTCGTTCATTACCATGAAGTCCCAAACCGTTACCAATGGCAATTTTTCTCAAGAAAGATGAACTCTAGTGAATACCCGTGGCAATCTAGGGATTTTTTTCTTTTTGAAATATTGCGAACAGTTGCGGAGTTATGGGCAAATAAATGTACAAACAATAATGATAGCAGTTCAAGTCTCAAATTTCATTTTCTCCAAAACTATATACGAACACGATGTTAATGAAATGTGGCATTTTGATCTAAATTCGACTCCTAAGTGCAAATTTCACAAGAAAAAAGTGTTTGCTAGTGAGGCTGAAAGTTTCGTAAAAATCAAGTTCTTCTAATTATTGTTTGCCAATTTTTCAAAAGTCTGCTTACTAGTTTTGCTCTTTAGCAGCTTTAGTTTGGGAAATCTTCACTTCAATAATTCATTTTTCGGCTTTGAAAGTTACCAATACTTTTTATTTAATCCGCTTAGTGAGCAGAAAGTAGGCTTTATGAACTGTGAAAATTTCATTTATACTGCTTTATTAGCAAAATTTTAACAAATTGTAATAGCTGCACGTGTAAATTTGTTTTCAATACATTTTACCGGCTGTAATTTAATAGTTCATTTCTCAACAATCAATGATTCCATATTTTCGTGTTTGAATGCTTTTCTATAAGCTTTTGTATAAGATTTAAACGGATCTCATTAATCCTCCCACTAGCTCAACACGGTTCCATCATCAGTAAATACGAATCTCTTTGAAGTTAAAACTGCAAAATAATATCCACTAATGGGGAAGTTAATTTGCATGAAAACACTAATTTTTGACCTGTTTTGTCAAGTTGTTAAAACTCAAGGTTCAGCACGAAAGTTTCAACTTGTACTACGTGGGAAATTATAAATTGTTAAATTGAGAAGCGCATTTGCAAAAAACGCTCACTTTTTGACTCTATTTCGGCAACTTGTAAAAAATCAGAATTTAGAGCATTTTGCATGAAAATTTAAGCTCTTTTGCTTGAAGTGTTTCGTAGAGATAAGGTGCGAGTTATGAATTTTCAAGTTGGGAAGCGCATTTGCGAGAAAACGCTCACTTTTGGACACTATTTTGTCAATTTGTTAAAAATCAGAATTCAGTGAAATTTTCAAAAATTTTTTGTTTTTAACTACCACCAATTATTTAGAATCCGTAACAGTAGTGAGAAAAACGCTTTTGCGCAGCTGATTAAAAATATCATTTCGATTTCAATCAGTCAGTATTTGGAACTTTTATTAAAAGCCCTGCTAACTAAATGCTAATTATTTCGTTATTCCATTATCTAATTTATTAATATGTTGAATTGTTAATATGGCAATTAATTTTGTTCTAAAATAGAGACTATGAATTACATTTGGAATGTATACATTTATTGGGATTGTATTGGCTTGAGTTTTTTGAAAATATGTGGCCCTCAGTTTGTTGGTGTGCAAAACGGACAAGAAAAGAATGTTCTTCTTCTTTTTCTTTCTTCAGTGCCAGTGGCCAAAATTCCAAAATTTGGAACAGATTATAGGTCTGTTTCTCCCAGTGCATATGGGTATGAAGAGCTAGTTTCCAGATAATAATCTCCAAACAATCTGAAATAATAAGTAGCCATATAAGCATTTTACAAAAGTTGCTTACGCATATTTTCATACTTACGATGTGTTAACGGCTCCCATTATAGATTGAGGGACACGTTTACATTCTGCTGCTACATAATCGTTGTAACTATCACAACTTTTGGCAATAAATTGATCTGTATTCAAAGCCTCTGAATAGTAATAGTAGGAACGTCCATGGCTACATGACAATGAGGTGTTTAAACATCCAGGTTGAATGTAGCCCCCATTTGGCCAAAAATCTGCACTTCCCACTGCGAAATTCACTCCTACCACTAAAGCATTTGTGTGAATAGCTTGAACATATTGAGCATCCCCTTCGCTCAGTCTTTCAGCTGGTCTGCTATTGAAAAATAAGGGTCCTGCAGGATCTAATCCTGTAATGCTGGACAACGAACTATTTGTTAGTTGACCTGAAATCAAATTCTATACGTAGATAATTCCAAAATGTTCCCACAATATTTTATTGCAAAATTTGATAACTTTCGATTTGTTCTTTAGAAAGTAATTTGTTCATAGCACTTATAATCTCTTCTGTTCTATTTTATAACACATTAATTCGGAAGCTGTATTATGACTTCGAAATTAAACTTTACCTGCATATCCAGCAATGTGCGCTCCCAAGCTGTGGCCAACAATTGAAAAGTTCTCCAAACTGTAGTTGTATGCTGAAGATACGTTGTTGATGAACTGTCCAACAAATCCCCCAATATAAGGAACTGTGAAGCGTGCTTTCACATAAAGCTGACTTGCGTAAGTGTCCCAGTCTACAGCTACAATGTTTACATTGGTGGTATTCAGATATGCAGATCCTACTAGATCATTGAATGTAGAGTTGTAGGTATTTTGCCAGCCGTGTACTGTAATAACAGTTTCTAAATCCAAATTAAATTGGGATAGAGACGTGATATTTTGCGCGTCTGCAAGAGATACTTCCACAGCTTCTAAATTATCGTTGTTTGAAATATAAAACGATACATCCTTTTCGGAAATTTGCAGAAGCCATGCTTCGATAGTTGTCAAGTATGCATCTGCCTCCTCTTCACCTAGAGCTTTAAGTTCGAGGATCTCCTCTAGTAGGTCTATGTCTGTATATCCTAAAATATTTTTGCTATATTTTTCAGTATTTCATTGAATAAAAGTGAAATGCTTCAAGTATTGCAACTATATTTGTAAAAGTCATTAAATCGAACAATGTGGAAATTACGCCAAAACAGATATCGTATTAAATTCGAAATCATACAATGAAATTTGAACAAGATAAGGCAAAGTTGGAACAAAAGATCTACTTCACATAATAACTCATATAAGCTAATCAAAATGATATATGTATCTGAAACTAAAATATAATTGCATGTTTGAAAGTTAAAAAAAAACAGGATTAATCTAACTGCGACATTTGTGAAATGAATTATGATGAAATTAATTTAGGGTTCACGTAGAAAAATTAAGAAATAATTGTGTCTGATACAGACAAATATTTTGATCGACAATAACTGCATTTTGTGGATACAAAACCCCTTCTACCATACCTTTATTAGATTTGTCATTTCGTAAATCGAAGGGTACTGTCGTCAGTACCAGTGATAATGAAACCACAGCAAACACTAAATACTTCATAACTCTCTGTATTGTATCTGAACCGTAACGACGGTGAAATCCTTTCGTATATATATACAGATTTCAAAAGTAGCTGATGCGAGTAGTTTTACCTGATTAATTATGTAGCCAATTCTCTCGAAAATAATTTGATCTTTATCACATTTTTTAATCTGAAATGCTTTACAGATTACAAGTATTGTAAGCAAATTGTCTTTGAGGAGACAGGTAAAATTTCCTAACGTCGTTTCAAAAGGTTCGAACTTGGCAAGCCTATTTCGAAACTTGTAATCAGTTTAGCAAAGTTTAGATATCCATGTTTTACTAAGAAATGCTCCCATTTCAACCTATCTAATTATATTGCTGTAGTAAGGGTAGGGGTTCAAAAACCACAACAGCAAATATACTGTTTTATTGGAATCCCAGTATCGTTTTCCTTCTCATAGCTTTAATATTTGATATCGAATAGTTTATCGTCAGATTAGATTTGCTACTTTTTACAATTTATTATTAGTTGATTAAATAATTTCAACTAATTTTCATTTGGGAGTAATACTGAGTAGTAATGAACATATTTTGCTGCATATTTGCTATAAATATATTTGCATAAAAGCTATATTTTACTACATAGTAGGTAATTGGAAATCGACTTAACAATTTCAAACACAAAAACAATGCAAATTGCCTAAATCTGAGAAAAGGGAGAAGTTGAGTAGTGTTTCTAGAAATCTAATGACGAAAAGAAGAAGTTTTAGAGAAAAAACAGGGAACGCAGCTAAGAGAAATTAGCAAATAGATATGCTAAATTCGAAGGGATGTAAGGCTACATAACACTGATGAAATTGGAGGTGTGATAAACGGTTATTTTCTGTAACAACAGGTTTCAACGTTCCCGTTCACTTTGGTAATACGTTTATTAGGTAATCAGTACACTTTGGTATAGAAACATGATACTTTTTAAATTTTTCATTAAAAATGCACAATGCTGATGATAGTAGAAATAGCGCTGATACATAATGATTTCATTTCTTAAAAACATAATTCTTAACATTGGTAAACTTAAAATAAAAAACAAAACATAGAAGGAGGTGGAAACATGGGAGGGTCAGAAGTAACTAATTAAGGAACAAAAAAACTGATAATAAACTAGAGTCATTAAATAAAATATACGGTTTATATGCGAAAATGTTTAAAAATCTCATTTTCATTTAAAAATGAATTGACATTTTAGAATAAAATTGTTTGCAGATGCTTTTTCCTGACTCTAGTTCTTCGCGCGTTTATGATAGCATCCGATTTAGAAAATAATCTCTCGCATTTCGTTTCACAATAACATTAATAATCCACAATAACAACAAACAGAAATGCGTGTTTGGCAAACCTGGAAGAAGTATTACCCAAGTTAATTTTGATTAAAACGTTTGTCATTTTACACTTCAACTGTGATGGAATTTGTGTCTTAGACTCTGAGTTTTCCCATAGCTCGTATGCAAGTGTACATTCTGCTTAGCTTGCTGGTTCTGGGCATATAACTCCCGAGCTAAGTTTCTTGAGAGAAATCCCTTTTTTTAAGAAAGGTTTAGCTCTAAAAGCTAAATTATATCATCGCAGCAACTAAAGAAATTTTCGCGGATCTGAACGACTAAGTTTCCTGGAGAACTGAACAGTAATTCTTATAAACGAAAAGTGATAAACACAATCATCAAGGCAACGGGCAACTACATACAACATATTTTCCTTTGACAAATAGTTACTGAAACTGGTGCAACTAGCTAGATTGCTTAATGGTGCCGCATCGGTTCTGTGATGGGGCGAACCACTTTTTCGGTTTTATAAGACGGTTCCAAAAACAACCGGTTAAATTGGTAAACTGCTGCAACTGGATAGATCGCTGGACGGTGTCGCATCGGTTCTGTGCTGGTGCGAACCACTATTTCGGTTTTATGAGATGGTTCCAACAACAACCGGTGAAATCGGCTAGCTGTAATGACGGTTTCAGGTTACACGTTTGGAACACTGTTATTTTGGCGGTTACGATAAATACCGACCAACCCTAGAAGAAGTAAACAAGGCAATAGCCCAAATACAGAACTATAGGCCGATCAGCTTACTGTCGCAGATTTATAAACTCCTCTTAAGAATCAGTACCAAAAGGCTAACCACGAAATTTGATCTCTATCAATCGATCGAACAAGCAGGATTCCGTAAGACCTATGTCACCAATGATCACCTCCACACAGTAAAAATTCTTATTGAAAAATGCAGAGTACAACAAACCTTTGGTGCGCGTTTTTGTGGACTACAAAAAAGCTTTCGGTACAGTGGACCATCGTAGTATGCTCTAAGCCCTCGCATATTGTAGAATCGACCATCGATACACGAACCTTATCGAGCATATTTATAAGAAAGCGAATGCTGTCACTAGACTCCATGCAGACAATTCTGACTTCAAAAGAGAGCGGGGACTGCGGCAAGGTGATGTCATATCTCCCAAATTATTCACTAACCTTATGGAGTACATGTTTAAGCGTACGAAGATCGAAAACTTTGGCATCAACACCAATGGCGAGACGCTGAGCCATTTCGCTTAGCATCGCAAAAGTGATGTTAAAGGGACTGGATTTAGCATATAAACAAGTTGGGATGAATATCAACATAAGCAAGATCAATTTCATGACAAATCTAGTCACCAGTGAAAATCTAAAAGTGAACGGCTTGAAATTGAGCAAGTATGGCCCTGTAATTTTACTTGCGTGACGAAATTCGATTGGGGAGTGACAATCAAGCTTGTGAAATCCGCACAATAATACGTGCCACATGAGCAGCCTTTGGCAAACTGAGCTACATTTTAAGATCTAATATTCCCATATGTCAAAAGAGAAGGGTTTATCAGCAGTGTGTTCTACATGTGTTAACATATGGAGCTGAAACACTGACTCTAACAAAGCAAACTGCAAACCAAATACGCGTGACACAGAGAAAACTGGAAAGAGCTATATTGGGGCTCTCTCTGAGAGATAGGGTTCCGAATGCGGGGTGGCGAGAAGAAGCGGAGTTGCGGATGCCATTGTAAGAGTATCGAATCTCAAATGGAACTGGACAGGCCACGTGGATAGAATAAACGATGGTAGATGGATGATAAAAACAACCGCATGGAGACCTAGAGATAATGCATTTCGCAGCAGAGGCAGACCGACTACTAGATGGTCAGACGATATGAAGAGAATTCACACTAACTGGATAAATGCAGCGCGGGATAGAGAGAGATGGAAATATTTACGGGAGGCTTAGATGATGAGCTAATTAGTGAACAAACAGACAGTTTTTTTTTTATAAATTCGTGTATATTAAAGTCCTATATCTCCAAGAGCAAAAGGTGAGGTGCTGTTGGTTTTGAGGCAATATTTTCCAAACAACCTAAAAATGCAATTATTAAAACCATACTTCTGAAAATATTTATGTGATTATTTTCTTTGGTCATAACCGTCCACCTTCTTACGTTCTGTTGACAGCAGCTCCTCCCATGATAATCTGAGGATCGTTTTTATATTGGCCAGCCAGATAGTCATCATAACTCTCACATTTTTTGGCAATAAATTGGTCTGAACGCAATGATTCAATAAAGTAGAGATAAGATCGATCATGATCACATATCGGCTTTAGCAAACAGCATCCAGGTTGTGTGCATCCTCCATTAGGAATGTAATCTGCATCACCTACTGTATAGCTTGAACCTACCATCAATCCCGCTGTATGGATCACTTGCACGTATTGGGCATCATCTGGACTCAGTCGAGATTCTGGATGATATTTCGAAAAACCTGGTTTTGCAGGATCGAGACCAGTAATGCTCGATATTGCACTATTTGTGGCTCCACCTGAAATTAATTGTTTGATGACCATAAGTTACACAATGATTTTTCTGATTGAATCATTGACTCGAATAATGTAATTCAATGTAAAGGTATACATATCTGTTCATCTTACCAACATATCCACAAATATGAGCTCCTAAACTATGTCCAACTAGTTCAATATTTTCCAAGGAATAATTAAATGTTGCTGATATTTCATTGATAAATTGTCCTATATATTCCCCTACACGTGAAAGTAGATAAACAGAGATGGGGTAAAAGATGTTGGCCCATTTATCCCAGTCTATGTAGATAATATTTACGTCTCTTACATCAAGATAAGCATTTCCTAACATAAGGTTATATGTTGAATTATAAACTGATTTCCATCCGTGTATTAAAAAAATGGTCTTCAGGCTTATGTTGAATGAAGAGACACCAGTGATGTTTTCAACTTCAGATGGAAGAACTCTCTGTAGGTCCCGATTCTGTCTGTTTGAAGTATAAAATAAAACACACTTCTCCGTATTTCCCCAAGTGGACTCTTGACTTTCGACCCATTCATCTGCTGTATAATCTAAATCAATACAACAGCTTCTAGAATGTGGTAAATACATAACTAGATGCGATATCTAGTACAAACAAATTAAAGATAGCCGTATAAATAAATTAATAAATAAAAATATGAAAATTTTAATATTCCGTGGTAATTTGACTTCGAACGATATTCGAACTGGCAGAGTAAAACTCTGGGAAAGGATAACTTTTACTGTTAAGTTTGATTTAACAGATCAGCTAAGTCATATAGTAGAGTAGATTATCCGTCAATCGTCCCAAAAGGCCTTTGCTTATTTTAATAAACATGTGTTCCCTGAGAGGCAAAGGTAAACATTACGTCGAAAATTATATTTCACTAAATAACTGTTCATAATTAAAAAAACTTCGTTGGTTGTTTGCAACTAATTTATATAATTTTAAAATAACATTATGACTAAGGTACGTAAACACTTAAGATAAAAACGGACGGTTCGTGTGTATTGGAGTGTGTAATAATTTAGAAATGCGATCGAGGAATTTGGCTTAGCTCATGATCAGGGCCGCTTTCTACAGAACTCAAGCCGTTTTATGCTATACATAAGAACGAATCTGTAGGTGCCAATGGTTCTTCTATTATTTGCCATCCGATTTTAATTTAAACCACTCACTATAGGCTAAAAGTGAGAATTGGAATTTTGCTCATGGGAACTGTTTATATATAACGTCAACCAGGGGCAGATCCAGCAGACTCAAGCAAGTCAGGAGGGGGACATATATTAAAAATTCAGTCTTTTGTTGTCTATGGAATTGGAAAGAAATTGCGGGTTTTTTGAGCTGAAAAATTGACTCAAATATGACACTGCTTTTTTCGAAGGTTCTCAAGCCCTTTTGAGACTCGTAATTCGTTTTGGCATCGTTGGATAGAGAATTGAAACAACATGTGTGAGAAAATTCGGGAAGTTTTGACCCAGAAGGCAAAATTTGAATTTCAGATACTTAGGTGCAAGATTATGCCAAAGTTTCATCTTTTCCGTCCCGTTTTTGCTAATTTCTCGGAAGCAATATGAGCAAGAACGCACATTTTTACATCATTCCAGGAAGGAGTAAATGACCTTTTTAGAAAGTTAACCATCGGTAAGGAAATGTTGGTAGTTTTTTCAAAAATGTCTTGATTTCAGGAAGCTTTAGATTTGCGTGTTTTTTTTTGAGTTGCAAAATTTTCTCAAACATGACGCTGCTTTTTTTAAATTTCTTAGTTGAGCCCCATTTGAGTCACATTATTCGTTTTGGCATCGTTGGATAGAGAATTGGGAGAAAGAGTGAGGAAATTTGAGTGGTTTTAACCCAGAAGGCAAAATTTGAATATCATACGTTGAGGTCGTCAATTGAAAAGTATTAGTCGTAGAATATGGAAACACAAGCAGCGTGAACTACAGGGTTGAAACCAACTTTTAAGGATACAATTGCGGATGCAAGTCTAAATTATTCCTCTGAAAACGAATTCTGTTTTGATAAAATAGCTTTGTGCGTGTGGAGATTGAATTTTCGATGCATCACTGGCTCAAAACTATACTTAATTGTGAAGAGAAAAGCTATTGCCTTCTGATGTCCCTCTTGACTCAGCGAGCAGACGACATAACGATTTTAAAAGAAATAACAAATTTACGCATGTAAAAACCACTTTACTTGATTGATCCCTAATAGCTTTCCAAGTTTCCAAAAAGTTCGTTCAAAAATAGCGCTGCGGTTTTATATAATATTATGTTAGAGTTAATTATTAAGGTAGATTAATGGAAAACTACGAAATATTCTAATAAATATCGTAATTATCAAAAATGCATGATTAAAATTCATTTTATAATGGCTCTTTTTGTACTCATTACACACTCATTGGAATATAGGTACACATTAATATAGAGTAAAATATATTTTACATATAAACTAGTAGGCACTCAGTAGAATTTGAACCGCTTTCCATAAATATTCGGCTTCATATGTTTAATCTACCTTACATACCTTGATAAACAATACTTGATCGTTTTTCGCAGATGTTTTCTGCCAGAACCACCGGCATTAAATATATTAGATAACACAAGGATTTCATCATGTTCCTTACATGACAAAAAGCTAGCAAATGAATGTTTATAGTTCATAACCAGGCAATATCGTTCTGTCTAATTTTGTGTGTTTCTCACGTTTTTGTTTATCTCTAGACAATTAGTATGTTAATTACTGAAAATTATTTTATTGATTTTGAAGTTATCTGGTGTATGTATTTGCGTCGAAAAAAATCTCGCCATCTTCAATACCAACACAAGGAAACTTTACTAAGGTAACTGGCCCTAAAGTGAGCTTTGTGCAGATTTCACTCAAAGCAACATTTACATGATTAATGGCTAGGCACAAAAGAGAGCCTGGTAAACATATCGGAGCAATGCTGGGATCTGAAAAAACAATGCAATTAGATTAAGTAGCTTGTATATGGTATAGGAAACCGCCAACTTACCTAATTTTCCGTTATAGAAACTTTCACCATCAGCAGTTAATTCTATATTCAAAGTCAGCTCATTAGGGACTACATTGATGTTCAAGCAATCTATAGTATAAAATATAAACAGCATTTAAGTGGATGGTTCTGTCTGCTTCCGTTAATATAGTTGTAAATTAACTCGGATTTTTAACATTTGCTTGCATTCAACATTTATGGCACTAACAACTAGTAAACGTAGCAAATTTTGGAAAATGTAATCTTAAAATTGAAAGTAACCTAAATTAATGTTACTACAGAACTTGATGTTTAATTGGTGATTTCATCTCTGATTTTTTTCTTACAGATGATTGAATTTGATCCTTAAACTATCATTCATCATCATCCCTTAGGTACCTGCATGCATGTAATCTCAATATATAAATTGCATCATTTAAAAATACTTATTACACGCCATGGTTGAAATTTGTACATATGTTTAAATCAGTAGATACTTACAAGCGTTAAGTAGATTATTAGCAACGTTAATACTGGCACAACATTTATATTCCAATGTTGAAATAATATCACATCCATATAAATCGAGGTAGCGCGGTTTTTTAATACTTTTCGATTCTACCAAAACCGAAAATGCGATAATTAGGAGTATTTGGTGATAATGAGCGTTTAAACGGAATAACCAACCCATACCTGAATGCAATGAAAGCAACAGAATAATGGTTGTAATTGTAAATGTACCAATGTTTTTTGAATAATTACTGCACATTTTACATCATTATGAAACTTTTTTAATGGCTCTTCGGATTCAATTACATGTTTCATCGAAAAAGGGAGTAATTTCCCAATTATTGCCATGCATGTATTTGATTGTTTCTGTACTTGACCCCTTTTAATTTAACAACTGATCAATTTCATACAATTGGTTTGTCGCATTGCATTGATCCATCTTTTCTAAAATAACGGACCCTTTCTCGATTCGTAATTTACAAAGCGAGATAAACAAAATAAGTTTGTGCGGTTCACAAATTTCGAACAATCTATTACCTCAAGTTTTCTTTATGGCCGACTTCGAGCTTGCTCTTTACCACCTTAATAAATTAACTAACAGGGAAATTTCGGTGTTCTGTTGTAAAACTAGGCGTTTGGTGTTTCTTGTCTTAATGGGCCATTCTGTGAACATTGACAAGTTTGAGTATTATTTTGGAAAAACGACTGGAAAAAACATTTTCTGGATTGCTTGAATGAGTTCGACGTAAAATTTTAGTTTGATTTGGTGTAAGATTTCTATAAATCGATGTTTCCAGCGACTTTTTTTCAAGCTTTTCTCAAAACATTTTGAGCGTCTAACAATTGGTTATGTCATACAGTCAAAGCAAATAAAAATAATCAGGCATATATTGCTTAAGCTGAATACATACTCAATGTGGTACAAGTTGTTGTCTTTATATGAGCTGACAGATTTCATTTGGGGAAAGACCCTTGTAAGACCTTTTTAGGGTAAAATTTGTACCCCACATGAACAACTGTAAATCAGCTAGTCTATCTGTTCGTAGACAGACTGAAGCAACACTAAGTGACTAATGATGTCACAAGCATCTTTAATTAATTTACCACACCGATGTTGATAACTAAGATAAGGCTCGGCTGTCACCCAATACTTAGGTTTTAGGTGACCGGAATGGCTTTGTCGTAGTACCATTATTTTTATCTCTTCAGACTTTATAAATTAAATTTCGACGTTTTAACAATCGAGCTGGATTTTGGGGCAGATCAACATTCCTTCGTTTATTATCTAACGAGACTGTAAATTCAGTCTACCTGAATTTTAAATGCCTGTTTGTGGTCTTTGTATTCTTTAAATGCGTGGGAAGAGTTCACACTTTAACATATTCGTTTTTTTATTTATAATATAATAAATAATTGAAATTAAAAACAAAAATAGGACTAGAATTGCTAGTAAATCTGGCAAGGATTTTTCAATACACATTTTGCAAGTTCATTTTGAATGACAATTTATTAATTTATCATGAAGTTTTGTTATTTACACATTTAAACGCATACAGTACAATCTTACTGAATCTGCTTTCTCATTATTTAAGTGCTGATAAAGTAAAAGCAACATTGCTTGACAGGTTCATCTTAAGTTTGTTATAAAATACCTGAAGAGGAAAGGTCATTTGCAGGTATGTAAAGTAGTCTAGTAGACTCTCAGATCTGTAATGCAGTTTGTGTTAGTTTTAACGTAAATTTCACGTACAAAGTATTATTTATTATCGTGTCCATCTGATATTAGTTTTCACTACTCTTATTTTTACTTTTCTCTCGATATTTTGGAGTTTGCCATAAACATTTCACGCCAATTATGATTACAGACCAACAGTAAATAAAATGTATTCTGAGGTCAAATAGGCAAATAGAACTTTTCATAATAACTAAGGATACTTTACGGAATCTATGATTCCTTGTTGGAACTTGATATTTTTATGGTTCCTCATAGTTTTCCTGAAAAGCAGCCGATCTTGCTTTTGGTAATTGTGAAATACCACAAATTAAAAATTTATTTTCTTTATTTTCCTTTTCCTATATATATAGAATTTCTTGCTACAACTTACTCTTCCTGCTTATAGCGAGTGTCGTCCTACTTCCTCATTGTTTAAGTCAATTTAATATTTTATGTCTTGTTGTTTTGATTGATTAAAACTTACTAATTGTTAATCAGGCCTGGTACAACTAAAGAAGCCCGTTAATATATTACGCAAAAATAATATATGAAAGATTGCTTCGTCGACCATTCTCGGTCAGTTTATTATCACCTGCACGGAGCCGATTGGCGCCTTCTACCCACACATATACGTAGAAACTTGGGAAAATTCGACGTAAATTATAACTCGTTTTTCGCTCGAGATTTTTACTTCAGAGATTGTTCAACAAATGCTTAAAAGCCGAACCTTAATGATATTTCAGTTTATTTACTCACTTATTCTACTTGCGAACGGACACACTCCAATTATTTTAATAGTTATGCGTTCAGGTTTGGAATAGATGATTTACGATTCAGCTTTTTTAACTGGACTGAGTAACAATAAGCATCGGAGAAGACAAGCAGTCTGGATTCAGTGGAATGTGGATACGTACATCTGTTTCTGACTAAATTATTATTTTTTTAATAGCTACCAACTAAAACCAAGCTTTTAAATATGTTTTGTTATTCAATGCAAAGCTTATATAATATTATACGTACATGTATGATGATACGTATATGATGTGTCTAATAATGTAGTACTTACTGATGAAATGAACAGCAAACATGACCTGATTTAGATTAAAAATGAAATTTCCTAGGAACTTTCACAACCATTCTTTACCTTGAACCTTTGAAAAAATCGCTATATGGTAATCTAAGCACAACAGAACTGGAAACTATAATTGCTACAAAAGTGATATGCTAAATTGAAAACGGTATATGGGTTAACGTGTTTCAATAAATTCTTAAGGCCCACGCCGTATTGCGGTTTACTGCTGTCATTGAAACCGCAATTTCTTCATACAATAGAAATTGTTGATGCGAGCAAATATTAACCAAATATAGTTCGTCCTCATTTGGTTCCTGAGTGTGCAAAGAAGTTATCTCAACAAACGACAATGATTTTGAGTGATTGACTTACACAATTTAGTTGCTTTGGTATATAGAGAGATAAATATTCCACGACATGACACGACTTAACACAAGTTAGAAGAAAAGTCAACGGAAACACAGGGTGTCAAAGTTCTTTTTTTAAAAGACTTTTCAAATAACATGTTAATAACTTGAAGCTTTTTAATTTTAATTAAGTCATTATAAGTATGCTCTATAAGGTTGGTGCAACGATGATCGCTTCTACAATCCGGGAGGGCTTGGACCATACTACCATGATCCCCTGTATCGACCGTGATCCCCTTCGTAAGCTTTTTCGTAGTCCGCGAAAACGAACACCAAAGGCTTGTTGTACTCTATGCAATTTTTAATACGAATTTTCACGGTGTGGTGATGACATGGCCAGCTTGTTCATTTTCTCTGGAAAGCCTTTTTAAAGAAGCTATTTATCGCATATAAGTTGTTTTGTTGCACCAAGTTAAGTGGTGTCTGTCCTCTATCGTTCCTTACACTAAACCTCCGATGTCCTAGCGAGGTTTCACAATCGTCTTGACAACTCCTAGCCTCAGTTGGGCATTAAAATCTCCTATAATTCCGCGTGGTCCATCCAGTCCGAGGATTCTAAGCACCCTCTAATTGCGCTCTTGTTCTGCCACTACCTTGGTTGGTGAGACGGGGGTCGCCGGGGACTGATAAGCCTTGTTCTATGGGGCCATGTGTCTTCTGTGTTCACATCATAATGTAAACGGGGATTTTAGCTTTAGCTTAACACGCTGACAAATGTGTGTTGTTAAGGGGTCCTAAGGAAGAAAAATAGTAGAATTATGGACTACCAGTCAATGAAACTCAAAGAAAAGCAATTTGCAACAGAAAAAACATGTCTTGAACTTCGGTTAATAGATGTTATGTGGGCCAGTTATACTGGTTTTACAAATCAGAAATCATTTTGCTTTCGCTAAAAAAGCAACAACAATTAAACGTATGCACGCCAATGATAACCGCAATACAGAAGGAGTACAAAATCGGCAGCAAGCAATATTGTTGTTTGCTCAAATCAAACAAAAATCGAGGATGACACTTAGCACAAGATGGTGTATAAAATTTTAGTTAAGAATTGTAAATATTGTATTTGTTTCACCGATTCCCACGAATTGTGAAATGTTTTAGCTAATAAAAATATAGGTGCAGGTATTTACACGAAGTCATAAAATTAATACACGCATTTCATGGATGGATGTCCTTTTTTGGGATTGCATGTTGCATTTATGTAATACCAGCCTATAAAAATTTCAAACAATAAATACGGTGTTTGGCAACTCGTTTCAATTTGCGGCTCACAAGGCTGAAACAAAGTCGAACAGAAAACAATTGTGCCGAAATTTTATTGTTTTATTAGAGTTTAAAACTGCAGCAGTGCCACTGAATATTATTAAACACCGCTACCTATTGTCTGTTATTACATTTCATTAGTTGGAACAGTATTATATAGTTCTACATGCTGCACAGTTGATGGTAATATCACATACGTGGACAATTACAACCATTCCAAACTAATATAACTTTCAAAACTTATAAAATTTTTATCACCTTATTTTGTGAATTAGAGCACATGCTCCAGTTTCGATAGTCCATTTTGTGTTTTACTGTTTTGCGGTTTTTTATGAAAAAATTGATCTCTATAACTACTGTCGTTTTAGTCTAGGCGGATTTATGAATTTTTTACTGATTTTTATACAATGAAAACTTATTGTATGAGTTTACTGTGGCAGAAGTTACAAGGCATAAATAAATATTGTGGTATTAATACATATCATGCAACTTATTAATGCATCGCAGGATTCCATTAGAATTCTGTATTGTTATAACGGAATTGTATTTAAGCTACATCAAAGCTTTTTACATATGGAGATGTAACTAGATTATATCCCACTTAGCTAGATAATTAAATTTTAATTAATCTCACCTTTCTTTTGGTACAGTAATGAAACTATCCTCTTGTATAGTGAAAGTAATGCAATCCATTAAAGTAGACAACTATATGCTAAGGCGTTGAACCAATTATGTTCGTTCAGATGATGAGATGCTCGAGATTAAATATTGAAATTATTGGAAAAAATGTACGTTTATTAATTTAATTAGTCCACTTCGATTAATTTGCTTAACGATGCGATTTGAAATGTGCAAGATATTGGAAATAATCATTTCATAAACATGTCTTTCCTATTAGTAAAGCAAAGTCCAGTAGTTCCTTTGCTTATCACAAAAAATCTACATACGATTATGAAATAATTGGCTAGAGTATACAGGGTGTGTACCACATCGTTTGAGGAAAAATCATTCCGCAAAGTTAAAGCATTTTATATTTCTGATTTAAACTTATAATTAAAATGCTTTTACTTTGCCGTCAGGCCTTCACAAACAAACCTGCAGTATATATTTATTTGTATGTTCTGGTATATTTTCAACGTTTTCAGATTGTGATTTTCTATAGCAAGTAAATCTTTGGGCGAATTATATTTAATTTAGAGGCTTATCTACGATAAAAACATATTTTAAAATGTGTTTTTGTCATAATATTCGGGTGAAAAAGACTTGATCCACTTTAGATCAAGCAGATAACACCAGCGAAGATAAGATCAAGAATGTACTAAGTAATGATATAAAATCGCTGTATTACATGCTAAATATTCCATGCCAGAAATATTCCATCCAAAAATACCTACTATAATTATTAAAATTTTATAAATCTGTCTGAATTACTTCGGTGTTCGTTGAAAGCTTTTGCTTCTTGTAACGTGTCTAATCTTGCATACTTCGATTGGTATTTATTGATTGGCCATGCTTCATTTCAGCCAATTTTACTGAATTTAATTTTCATACTCGCCGGATGTTTACCTCATTACTTTTGAACGCCTCGCAAGTGTTTGAGAATTTTGCGCTTTAGTTGGTCGAATTATTGATTTAAAATTAAATATGGTAAATACAAAATTTATTCCCAATAATTGACGAACAAATATGAACACGAATCGTGCTGAATCCTTCTGTAAAGAAAAATTTATCACTTTCGTCAAAATGATCAACACTTTAATTTTAGCAATTTCACTCCTATAGTATTTGAAAATAAAACTAAAAAGAACATTTAATCTGAGGAAATTGGATTGATCTGAATACTTAATTTGATCGTCTATAGTACGTATTATTAAGTGAATTTTTGAAATATTCATCACCGAAAGTGGTTGATTGTTCTTAAGCATGTTTATAATCAAAATTCAATAATGTTTAAAAATAGGGGTCATTCCATATGAAACGCATTTTAGGAGATACCACTGACCTCACAAAAATGCCAACCATTAAACATCAATAATTCTCACTATTAAGTAACACAGACTTGATAATGTACTATTAATATTTGTTGTTATGAGAACCAAACTTACCAAATAATCCCCATCTCAGTTCGTGTCGTTTATTAATACCTATGCAGTCAATAAGTCATAAAACTTATGCATTTGTGACTCCTACTAAAATTATTGCTGTCTCTCTTTTGCATTTCTGTCCTTTGACGCCTTTAAAAGGACCAGATGTCCACATTTTGCTTTAATATTTCGGATCTGTGCTATCCGATTTTTTTACAAATCGATCTATAGATCCCTTAAATCAATACAAAGATAATGTGAAAATTTTAACCCATTTCGCTGATAGGTTACTAGGGTTTTGTATTTTTCCAGTGTCGAGGTGGCCTTAGGCTAAAGTACTTACAGTGTTGTCACGGCTCAATGCGGAATTTTACTTTCTCACGTATTTGTTTTTAGAACCAAATTACTAAGCGAATTATTTAGTAGTTAATACTGTTAATGGAATGGCAAAACAGCACTAGAGAAGATAACATTTGTATAATTTCTCTATTTGGTAGAAAAGGTACATTTTCTGTTCCAGCAACCATCATGATCATAAACAACAATATTCAACATAAGAAAGAACATTAATATAAGCATGTTTTGTTTTTTTGTTCTCCAAACATTCGATTTGCTGCATTACTTTTCCAACACTCCAGGAGCTAGAATTATACAGGGTGTCTGTACAAAATCCTAGCACAGATACAAGATGATTGAACCTAATTTGTCTACTCCAAAACTAGACGGTCTTCGAAACACGATCCACAAATTCGAAAAAATATTGCTTTATTTGTAATGCTACTAGCTGAACGAAATCTCCTATCGAGGGTTTTACGGGGCGAGAAAATAAAATCCGCAAACATTTTCCATTCACATTGAAAACCTGTTTAAAATGGCATATTTTTCTATGGTTCAGTATAGACATTTTTTATGACCAGACTTGTGTTTATACACATGTTTTGTAAAAAATCGGTCTCTTGGTAGAAGTCTCTACAAGCATTTCGGTTTGATATATTTGAAGTTTAACTTTCATGGCATCGCTAGTGAAGCAATTTTGTCGTACAATTGAATACCTCATTAACTATTTGAAAATACCATTTTAACTGATAAATCGTGCACTTAATAAACAGCTGTAATTTTTGCTTTTATTGAATGTTAGAAATTATTCCGGATAACATCTCTACAAAGAGTAATTCGACCTAAGCAGTTAAAATGTACCCCGCCATCAGATCCTCGTCGTTTCTTAAAATACCTCCGGAATTTTCTATTCGTCGCCAAAAATCTAAATCAGAAAAAATCTCCAAAAATCTGCGCTAAGATTTTGTCCAGACATTTTACTGACAAAGTATACACATTTTCAAGTGTCTTTGGTGTAATCTTTATTGGTTATTCTCAGGGCTCTTTCAAAATTCGGCATGTTGCTTGTAAGACCAAGTTCTCAGATCTTTTAAGTAGAATATTTTCAATTTCCTTAGGTTTTTTATATACGCAAAATAATTTCACCAGATTTTACCAAGTTGAAAAGTAAAATTTTACTTCCCAGCTTTAGTGCTACACTTGAGCTTATGAGAGTTGCCTAATTTGTAACGGATGCATGGATATATACCTAAAAGTTTCCATTGTAGTGTATTTGCTTAAATTTGATAACTCGTTCAACGACCATGTAGGTACTTGGTCTTATCGATATGTGAACTTGGAATTTTGCAAACGATAAAACAGGTGTTCCAATTTATTTTTAATCAATTTGAAAAGTGATAATATTTTGTTTCACTGCGTGCTTCTCACACATTATACACACATATGCTTCTCGGCACAGTTGAAATTCCAAATACTATTATGTCAAGAACTTCAAAAGTACTGACTATTTTTTATGGAAAATGTGGCTTTTATAACACATGGTAGCGAATTATCAGCCGAGCGTAACTGTTCCAAACTATATACTTTTACAGCATTCTTTTGAGTTAGCTCTAAATAACTGGTGAAATTGCAGCAAACATGTTTTGCGGCATTTAAAGCTCATTACTTTCATTCCGTTGCAGTTATAGTGCCTGTAATTGAAATATTTGAGAATTTCATAATATTATAGAAGCCGATATTGGATTTGAAACATGATTTAATAAATGGTAGTAAAACCTTCTTTTTCCAGTTTTTCATATATTGCTAATTATTCTACATTATTGCATTCCATAACATCCACCATCCACCAAAATATGGTTCCTGGCGTTTTCGTAGATTGTTTTATTCGTACATTATATTACATATACATTTGTGCTTATTCAGGGCATACATTTAATGTGTATAAATCAGAAATCGTGGCAATACAGCAATTTATTTTATAACAAAGCAAGAACCATGAGATAGAAAGACTGGTCGACTGCACACGTTGTGGAGAACTCGCCGCCGACGTTCGTTTCTCTTGGTTAATTATTTGTCGCGTAGGAAGAAACGAAAGTGAAGGTATTTGTCTCCTCTGAAATGTGGTTCCAACGAATTTTCCAATGTGCTAATTCCCACTACAGATTATAATGCGCTTTAAAGTCAATCAAAACATTGGAACTCCGCGTTCAACCACGGAACTGCTAATCAATGAGTAAACAACTATAAATCTTCAGCATCTTTGTTAAGCAACCCGCGAGAACAATTCGAACTATTTCATTTGTTCCTTCAGTGTCGTAGATATTTTGTAAATCTATTATTTTATCATATGCAAATGTTCCTTCACAGTATTCTTTAAAAATTTAAATAAACTAAATTGCAATTTAAAATCTTCAGCTAATATAATTGGGAGAAGTTGTCAATTTTGCAAAAAAACTAAAAAATCTGACAGTTTGAAGAATGGAAATGACAAATCTAGTTGCCCAAATCGATGGAAAACTAATTTTTAAGTCGGTATTTACCAAAATATGAATGATTGGTTTAAAATTCCTTTGTTGCTGAAATAGCCTAAGGATGACCATATATCGTATCAAATCTGTCTTTCGCAGAGCCGGGACCAAAGGGAATTACTTTTCACACCTTTTGGTGTGAAAATGCTTTATTTGTTTAGATGGCGAATTTTTCGTTTTATTATGAATCTTGACTACATATATACGTGTCAAGACCACAAAATAGAATATTATTTACTGAGCCTACAGTTTAGGTAGCAGCGTAAGTATGCAAAAATGTTTTCCTGATTGTTACCAAAATTGTTGATTGTTGTCTCAAATAATCTAGCGATTTAGCAATGAATTCACTAACTTATCTAGCTGATAATGCTTAATGATTTAGACAATTTCTTTCGGTTTTTGGATTTGTGTCCTCATCTTAATGCCAAGCTAAATAAAGAAATGCTAACATTTTACTTTCTTGTTAGCGATTTTTCCGGAACGTATTTAAGCCATAAATTGGTCTACACAGGCTTGCCAATTACTTTTCCAATAAAGTCATCAGTTTCAGTTCTTAAAGGAAATATGGACTTTGATGTTTTCTGCCAAAGCATTTCTTCTTGAGATGCGCCATGTTACCCTGTAATTTATATTCGACATAAGAATTTCAAAGTTTCCCGTCTCAACTTCAGGCTGATCAGTGTACTTATTGAATTGTGTCTCGATGTAGCAGGAAATAATACTATTGCTGCTAATTTTCTTAAAATCTTTTTGTAGACAATTTTTTGTTTTCTTGAATGGATTAAAGTCTCGGAAATTTCTAATGACCTACTTTTTTCTGTGCTGCATTTTCAATTATTCTGAAATCCTTATATCTCTCGAGTAAAACAAGGCGTCCAAAGTATGGCAATTTTTCCAAAAAATCATATCGTCTCTTATTAAGTAAATTTGTACTATAAATATATCCTGATCTTCAAACCGTGGCGTCCCCGCATAACGATGT